AAACCTTATGAATGCAGGGAATGCCAGGAATCCTTCAGGTACAAGTCCCAACTCCTTGTCCATAGGAGAATTCACTTGGAACAGAAACCTTATCAATGTACAGAATGCCACAAAGTCTTCAGCAGCAAGTTCTATCTTCTAATTCATCACAGAATTCACTCAGGAGAGAAACCTTATGAATGCAGGGAATGCCACAAAGCCTTTAGCTGCAAGTCCCAACTTCTTACCCATCAAACAGTTCACTCTGGAGACAAACATTTTGAATGCAGGGAATGCCACAAAACCTTTAGCCGAAAGTCCTATCTCCTTATCCATAAGAGAATTCATTCAGAAGAGAAACCTTATGAATGCACAGATTGCCACAAAGCCTTCAGCCACAAGTCCTATCTCCTCATGCATCAGAGGATTCACTCGGGAGAGAAACCATATGAATGCAGGGAATGCCACAAAGCCTTTAGCCGCAAGTCCTATCTCCATATCCATCAGAGAATTCATTTGGGAGTGAAACCTTATGAATGCAGGGAATGCCACAAAGCCTTTAGCAGCCAGTCCTATCTCCTTATCCATCAGAGAATTCACTCAGGAAAATCTTATGAATGCAGGCAGTGCCACAAAGCCTTCAGCAGCCAGTCCTATCTCCTTATCCATCAGAGAATTCACGTAGAAGAGAAACCATATGAATGCAGGCAATGCCACAAAGCCTTCAGCAGTAAGTTCTGTCTTCTCAGTCATCAGAAAATTCACTCAGGAGAGAAACCTTATGAATGCAGGGAATGCCATAAAACCTTTACCCGCAAGTGCTATCTCCTTGTCCATCAGAGAATTCACTCAGGAGAGAAACCTTATGAATGCACAGAATGCCAGAAATCCTTCAGGCACAAGTCTCAACTCCTTGTCCATAAGAGAATTCACTCAGGACAGAAACCCTATGAATGCAGTGAATGCCACAAAGCCTTCAGCAGCAAGTTCTATGTTCTCATTCATCAGAGAATTCATTCAGGAGAGAAACCATATGAATGCAAGGAATGCCATAAAGCCTTTATTCGCAAGTCCTATCTCCTTACCCATCAGAGAATTCACTCAGGAGAGAAACCTTATGAATGCACAGAATGCCAAAAAGCCTTCAGTGACAAGTCCTATCTCCTTATCCATCAGAGAATTCACTCAGGAGAAAAACCTTATGAATGCAGGGAATGCCACAAAGCATTCAGGCAAAAGTCCCATCTCCTTATCCATCAGAGAATTCACTTGGGAGAGTAAACCTTACGAATTCCTTGAATCTGGGAAGACTTTCTCTTATGGATTCATCGGGGAATCCATACAGGAAAGAAACCTTATTGGTACCATTAATGTAGGAAAACTTTCCCTATCACATTTAGACCTTGTTTTATATCAGAAAACAGGCAGGAGAGAAACTTCATCAAAACAGTCAGTGTCGGCAATCTTTAGCCCATACGTCATATTTTACTATACATCAAAGAACACACAATGGTGAGAAATCTTATGGATGCAGTGAGTATTGGAAAACTTTCTCCCACAAATTTAGCCTTCATCAGAAACTCAATGGAAAGAAATGAAAGTTGTCACTGAGAGTATACCAGAGTTTATATGAGATTGAAACCTCAAGACTGAAGCTTATGTAGACAAGCTTCTTTTCAGTGTTTCCCATTAGGAAATAGTGTTAAGTCCAAAGCCAGTCAGAGGATAATAACTTTTTCCAAGATATGTCAATTGAATATAGGCCAAAGAGAATTAACAGAAAGGAATGTATATAAGGCTCGGCACCTGTAGCTCAGCGGCTAGGGTGCCAGCCACATACACTGAAGCTGGTGTGTTTGAATCCAGTTTAGGACTGCCAAACAAAAATGACAACTACAAACAAAAAATAGCCGGGCATTGTGGCGAGTGCCTGTAGTCTCAGCTACTTGGGAGGCTGAGGCAAGAGAATCACTTAAGCCCAAGAGTTTGAGGTTGCTGTGAACTATGATGCTATGGCACTCTACACAAGGTGACAGCTTGAGACTCGGTCTCAAAAAAAAAAAGGAATGTATATGTGTACATTGGTTGTGAGGATGTTGTTGACATAAAATTTAGCTATATCAGTATCACAGAATTTACGTTCATATCAAAAAGCAATTCTATTATGAATCTAGGGAATCATGTTTTTATGGGTATCACATTATAGGGGGAGTCATTTTTCTGCTGTTGTGATATGGAACGCATTAAATATGTAAAAAGTCTGGTCAGAAAATAATACAAAAATATATCAGAATAATGCCAAGTATGTAATAGTTTTGTACTGATTTTTATTATGAAAATGATTATTCCTATTGAGAATTACGTATGTTTGCATAACAATTGTTACTACATAGTACAAATGCTTAAATGTGCCTAAAACCTTCTCAGAGAGTATCTGCAATTAAACTTTATAATCCTACATAAATTATTGAACTACAATGCCTAATTGTGTTTTGGAAGAAATCTCAATACAAATTCTACATATCTTTTTCTCCCTGGTGTTTGCTAGTATTTGCAAATGGGTCTGGAAATTTTTGTGCCCTTCTCTTGTAAACCTTATTAATTCTAAGATGGACATTTTCTCCACATATTACTAATGCTGATATTAAGGTGTGACATATAATCTATTGACTTGACATATAAATGGAGAACTGGTATGTAAACTCCTGGTACATAAGATAACCAAGGGTATCTTAGGTCAGATGAAATATAATTCTTTATAAAGGATTTTGTTTCTTCTAAGCCAACCAGATATTTGGGGTTTGCAGAAGATAGCTGTGTATAGGTTTTATGCCCCTTTTGTATTCTAAATAGTTTGAGCGATAGTTCCTAATATCAGATAGATGGAAATTAAATATTGGCTGTAGTCCTGGTATATATTGCTTGATTGGATAATGTGACCTGGTCTTACGATCCAGTAAAACAGGGTGCTGAGTGAAGACAAAAATGCTGTAGAGCAGAATTCCCAGACAGCCCACATGCACTTGTAATATCAGCCAAAAGTAAATCTTTGTTGTTTAAAGCCATAGATGTTGGGGGGGGGGTGCCTTTTCATTACAACATAATAATATGTCAGATACAAATGCTTTCTTAATCTAGAAAACCTTTCTTAAATTATTTTCAACTCTCTTTGACATTGAAAAGGTCCAGTCTTATTAGTGTGATAGGTAAGGACCTTGTATGAGTTTTCTCTTGCTGTGCAACCTAAATCTTCTCTTATAGAACTTTAATACTAAAATCCTCACAAGAGACAAGCAGCAAAGAATTTTTAAGATAATCCTAAGACGTGGGGTGCCCATCATTCAATGGTTAGGGCACTGGCCACATGCTCCTGGGATGGTGGGTTCAAATCTGGCCCAGGCCTGCTTAAACAAACAAAAGAAAATCTGGGCATTGTGGGGGGCACCTGTAATTCCAGCTACTTGGGAGGCTGAGGCAAGACGCTGGAGCCCTAGAGTTGGAGGTTGCTGTGAGATATGACACCGCGGTACTCTACTGAAGGTGACAAAGTGAAACTGTCTCAATAGTAAAAAAGAATCCTAAGAAATATGACAAGGATTTTGCTTTACTTGATAGCAAGATTTGCTACAAATCTGTGGAAATTAGATAGCATGGTGTAGGTGAAGGGATAGATACCTATTCCAAATTTTAACATAGAGCTCAGAAAATGATCCATCTGTATGGAAATTGGATATATACTTGAGATGGGATTATGAGTCATTGCAAAGAAAAGGTCATTACATGGAGCTAGCCAAACTTAGGTGTGCAAGTTCTCAATTCTGACACCAGCTACAAATTGAGAGGTCTTTAGGACCAAGCTATCTTCAAATTTGGAGATTCTCACAACATTCCTGAGGTTCGATAATAGATCACTTCCTAGGGTCAGAAAGACTCCCAATCACTGAAGCACTAATGTATTGAGGGGAACTAGCTAACCAGGAAGGTGACTGTAAGAGGCTTGACCTGACACTTATGATTACGGGCAGGGGAAGAGGCAGAGAGGGAGAAGTATGGGAATGTTTTAAGCATGAATAGTCGATCATCCTCAGGGATGTGTTATCCTCCCTGCATGAAGTAATGACAATATTTGGAGGAGTGTTGCCAGCCAGGGAAGTACATGTGAGCTTCCTCTACATAGTTTTTATTGGGATTTTATTACATAGGCTTGATTACTTGGGTTTTACTCAACACCCCTTCAGTGTATAGTTCATATATATCACATGGCTCAAAGCCCCAACCTATGGTTTTATTTACTGTAATTTTCATGTCAGACAGTAACATTTAACATCAAGAGAAAAGGGGGGCTCGGGGCCCATACTCAGTGGTTAGGGCATTGGCCACATACACTAGGGCTGGTGGGTTCCAACCTTGCCCAGGTCTGCTAAACAATGACAACAACAAAAATAGCCAGGTGTTGTGGCAGGCGCCTGTAGTCCCAGCTACTTGGGAGGCTGAGGCAAG